TTTGCAGGGAACACTATGAGAGAATGAACTTTCCTCTTAAATTCTGATTATTCTGATTTTTTATTAGAAGAATTGCCGCGAACTTGAAAAAACTTCTGCTTAACAACTAGTCTACCAAAAAAAAAAAAAAATGTTCTGATTTTTTATTAGAAGAATTGCCGCGAACTTGAAAAAACTTCTGCTTAACAACTAGTCTACCAAAAAAAAAAATCCTTTGTGGGAAGAAAACATCAAGTTTGGTGGACCCTAGAGAAAATGATCCCACTTGTTTCCCGTTAATTTCCTCCGTAGTTTGGTTAGATTCAAAGTGACGTCTCTAATTATTGTTTTTTTTTTCTTTTTTTCAACAATATCAAGAGCAAGAAGCCTCTTTTTTAAGGGTGACAATTCGTGTTAATGGATCGTGTTCGTATCAATTCGTTTATTAATCGTGTTAGAAAATATTAATCTAAACATGATATGTTTATTAAACGTATCAAAAATGTCAATCCAAACACAACTCATTTATTAATCGTGTCAATCTGTATAACCCGTTTAAATTAATATATTAAATAAATAACTAATATAATAATGACTTATTTAACATGGTCAAGACAAGCTTAACATGTTTATTAGTCAATTTATCTTTTTCTTTTAAAAATATAAATGAATTTTACCTATATGTCGTATAAACTTTCATGTTATATCACATATAATTAGATTACAGATAATGCATATAGTTAATCGTATTAATTCGTGTCACTTCGTGTTAAGAGGTCAACCATAACCCAACTCATTTATTAATCGTGTCAATCCGATTATGACTCAAACTCATTTTTTTTTTCAACAATATCAAGAGCAAGAAGCCTCTTTTTTAAAGGTGACAATTCGTGTTAATAGATTGTGTTCGTGTCAATTCGTTTATTAATCGTGTCAAAAAATATTAATCCAAACATGACATATTTATTAAACATATCAAAAATGTCAACCCAAACACAATTCATTTATTAATCGTGTCAATCTGTATAACCCGTTTAAATTAATATATTAAATAAATAACTAATATAATAATGACTTATTTAACATGGTCAAGACAAGCTTAACATGTTTATTAGTCAATTTATCTTTTTCTTTTAAAAATATAAATGAATTTTACCTATATGTCGTATAAACTTTCATGTTATATCACATATAATTAGATTACAGATAATGCATATAGTTAATCGTCAAGACAAGCTTAACATGTTTATTAGTCAATTTATCTTTTTTTTTAAATATAAATGAATTTTACCTATATGTCGTATAAACTTTCATGTTATATCACATATAATTAGATTACAGATAATGCATATAGTTAATCGTATTAATTCGTGTCACTTCGTGTTAAGAGGTCAACCATAACCCAACTCATTTATTAATCGTGTCAATCCGATTATGACTCAAACTCATTTATAGTAAACTCAAACCCGCTAACTTTATGGAGGTTTCGAGTCGTGTCGTCATGTCGCTACCCAAATTGCCATACAAATTTTTTAGTTTGAGCAAAAAAAAAAGCCTCTTTTGTCCACCAAGGATTAGGAAGACAAAGTGAGTGTTTGGAACCGTTTTTTAAAACAGTTTTCACGTATTTTGATAAATAAAAAATGAAAATAAAAATGAAACGACGTTTGTTTAGCAAATGTTTTGAAAACAAAAATAGTGAGAATGATTTTTGTGAAGGAAATAGAAAACAGTTCAAAGTTATTTTCACTTTTCTGTTTTTATTTTTAGTACTTATCAATAATATTATAATATATTAATTAATAAACACGATTTCACTTTTTTATTACTCAAAATAATCTCTTAAAAAACTAACAAAGCGTAATTTTAAAATCGGTTTTAAAATGATTCTTAAAATAATCCCATTTTTACTTTTTATTAAAAATAAAATATTTTAAAAAATAAATTCCAAATGCACCTAAAAATGCTCTCAACCAATCCAAGTGGCAATTGCAACGCTTCCTCTCTTTTTCTTCTTATTTCCATATGAACGAAGCAGATCAAAGCTACATTCCTTTCGTTTATGTAGTATCTTTGAACATTATGATTCGATCATCTTGAAGGTTTTTGTTTTGTTTTTTGTTTTTTTTTTCAATTCTTGACGCGCTTTTTGTTGATGGGAATCATTTATCATGTATGAATTATTCGGCTCAGTAAGTAAACAAGAAAACTGACAACCTTGTAAATAATAATCAAATTTTTGCATGTACAAAATCCCACGTATGTGAAACTTACATTATTCTTTGGAGATTTCTGTGGTACCATACGCGTCTCCTTCCCGGAAGTTATGTTGTAACTTGAACAAGCACAGTATTCTATAGAGAGAGAGAGAGAGAGATAGATTTGAGAGTTGACTTGACTTTGCTACTTTAGAAATTCACATATATACATATATATAAACCCATCTTTGCACAACAACTTGGTATCTCATTCACAAAAAGAGAAAAATAAGGTTATTGTAGCGCTTTGCTATCTTCTGCCAAAGCCACCAACAAAGGAGTTGTTCCTTGAAAACAGGTACGGCATTATTTTTCATTTAAAATGGTTTTATTTATGAGCAGTGCAGTTTCTTTTTCTGAAAAATCACAACTTGCTTATATGTTCTATGGAGTATCGTAATCAAATGTTATGACATCAGTTCTTTAAAAAAAAAAAAATTAAAGCACATTTTTTTCTTAATTTTCTTGATTCTTTGATTCAGCTTTTCGTGACTCTGTTTTGAGTGGGAGCAGCCCAATTTATTCCGATGGGATTTATACCCATCAGATACAAAAGTAGACTCCATTTCTAGGCCTATATGTGGGGCCCACCTCTTCATCTTTATAAGGATTTGGGATAAAATGAGTTTTCCTTTGAGTGGATAGTTAAAATTCAGTAACATCTGTTAGTTTAACTATTTTCCTTTGGATTTATGTGGATGATTTTTTAGCAGACGACCAAAAATATGGCCTTTTTGTCATGCTGCTCAGTTTTAAAATGGCATATTTTTATCAGAAGCAATCGGATTTACATATTGTTAGTTTATTTAGTGTGATCTAACGTCTAAAAACGCACAAATCAATAAGGTTAATCTACCACAGACATGATTACTAACTTTTTTCTTAAACCAAAAGAGCTTTTATTTTATTTCTTTCTTTCCGGACTTGGGATTTGCTTTATCTTTGACTATTTATATTGCTTTTGTGATCATTTCCAAGAATAGGGACTGAGCAAACATGGAACATGGCTGTTATAATGCTCCAAACGACATCGAAAACCAATTAACTCCCCTGGTTAATTCTATGAGATTGGAGTTAGAAAACTTGTCCCCATTATCTTCAAACTGTTGCATCTTTAGAGTCCCGGTGCGATTACGTCTAGTGAAGGAAAAAGCATACACACCCCAAGTGGTTTCCATTGGCCCACTTCACCATGGCAAGGCAAACCTAAAACCAATGGAAGAGCACAAAAAGAGGTATCTAAAACATTATCTCACACGCACCAGCACAAGCTTGGAGCATTTCGTAAAGATCATAAAGCAAAAGGAAGCCGGATTGCGCAGTAGTTATGCCGAACCTATAGCATTCACAAGTGATGAATTTGTGAAGATCATTCTAGTGGATGCGGCTTTCATCATCGAGGTCCTTTTAAGATACTTTGAAGATTACCAAGATGATCACGACCGCATATTTAACAAGCCGTGGATGTTGCAAGACATCTGGCCTGACTTGACCTTGCTTGAGAATCAGCTTCCGTTCTTCATCCTTGTGGATCTTTTTGACCCCAAAAGGATCTCGGTGCGTTCCGATGAAGGTGAGGAGATTTCAATGGTTAAGCTTTCCCTTGCGTTCTTCAAAGGGCTAATGCATTTTGAGACACCGAAAGACAATTCAGAAAGAATCTCTTCTTCTGAAGTGGTACACTTTGTTGATTTCTTGAGAGATTTATACAAACCGCCGCCAAGGCCAAGGACTGGAGGAGAGCTCAAAACTCTAAGAATTCCTAGCATGACAGAGCTACACAGGGCTGGGGTTAAATTCAAGGTGGGGTCAAGCAAAAACTTGTTTGACATTCGTTTCTCGAAAGGGATTTTGGAGATTCCCAAGTTGACAATAAGTGATGAGACAGATTTGACTATTAGAAACTTACTTGCCTTTGAACAATGCCATTGTAAACAGAATTACTTGAATGATTACGTTGTGATTATGGACCGCCTTGTTAATACTTCAAAGGATGTGGATTTGCTTGTCAAGTATGAGATTGTGGAGAACATGTTAGGGGACAGTAGCGAGGGCGCTGATATGATAAACAAGCTCGCGGATGGTGTTTTTATGGATAGCAATGACTTCTATTTTGCCACTATTTCGGAAGGACTAAACAAGTACTGCAGAACCTCCTGGCACAAATGGAAGGCGAACTTGAGACAAAACTATTTCCATACCCCGTGGGCAATTGTTTCTGTGGTTGCAGCTGTTCTTCTCCTCATTCTCACCTTTATACAAGCGATTTGTTCTGTTATCGCCGTACCTGACAAAGGCTCACCTCATCACTAGGCCATATTATTATTCTACTTTTTTAGGCAAGAATTGTAACTTGTAAGCACCACTAGTCTATATTTGTAACTAATGAATCTTCAGCTTAGCCTTCCATTTTATATTTGTTACCATGATCAGTGAGTTCAAATAGTTGCTACTCGCTTTTTCTCCCTTTATTTTCATTTTTTGTTTCTAGTGCTGTTTTGTTATTCAACTATTCTTGAAGAACCATTCAACTACTCTTTTGAGGCATTAGTGAAGAAACAACCTCTTTGATACTATGATTATGTCTAATCTGCGTCATCTCCATTTTTTTCGCATGGATGTTGGTTATTTTCTTGTCTAATCTGCGTCTTTTTTGCTTTCTTATACTATGATTATGTCTACATTTGATTCTCTCTTAAGGTCAAATCTACATTCTCGTGTTATTTCTGAAGATTATGATATAAGATGTATCTGACAATTAAAAATTAAAAAATTGTTTATAATTTATTTTTTTTATCCTACCACAAAATTCCATTCTTTTCTAACTTTACTCCTTTTCTTTTTCTTTTTTTTTTTTCCTATTTTCTTTTTAGTTTTTTCTCAGGTGCTTTTGTGCTCTAAGCATTTTAACCTTGTTTTACATCATGTTTTTTTTCTAAATACTTTTTTCCCGTGTTAGAATGATTTCTTTTAAATATATACTTACTTAATTTTGGAATAACCTCTTTTTTTTTTTTTCCTTTTTACTTTCTTTTCTGAGGTAATTTATTTTAATTATGTCCTTATTTAAGTTTTTTTTACACTTTATAATTTGAATTCTTTTTTTCACTTTTTTTCATTTTTTGTTCTTTGGTTTTGCCAATTGTACCTTTTTTCCCTAATATTCTTTGACAATTTTTTATAATATCATTCGTTTAAATATTCTTTTTTGTCACTTTCTTTTAATTAAAATAAATCCTTTGAAATATGACCCTTTAATTTTTTTTTCAATGTGATTTGTTTAAATACTTTTTTTTTTCTTTTTCTCTGATCATTGAACTTGACTTCTAGGTTCAACTCACAAAATTATTTTTCACGTACATAGCACTAGCACGTGCCTCAATTAACTAGTTAGCCCAGAAGCCACACATTGGCTTTTTACTCACAGCCACTTCCATGGCTAGCCACAAAATGTGATTGGCCACATTTTACAAACGCTACTACATTTTACAAATTCTATAATATATGTGTGAATGTATTCTATATATGCTTATAACAATATTGCAGATGCTCCAAATTCTAATTAATCAAATGATTAAATATTTTAGTAGAACGCGGTAGATCTGTGTAACGTTCGCTGAAATTTCAGAGAGTCGTCACTACAACATTTAACGCTTTTAGAGAAGACACTTTTTGCGACGGATTTTTTGGGCCTTCCAGCGATGACATTGTCGTCGCTAAAAGTGGTTACTGAAATGCCAATTTTTTTAATGACATAGCAACTTTTTGGCACAACCTATGACACTTTCAACGACAACATTTATCGTCGCTAAAAGTTCTGTGAATATAACCCCTGTGCAGAACCCTTCTTCCCCATTTTCTTTCCTTATTTCTCTTCTCTCAGCCTTTGCTCCTCCACCCTCTTCTTAACCCTAAAAGACCCAAATTTCTTCATCATTTCTCTCTCAAATTAGACCCAACAACCTTTATTGTCATTTCTCCTTATTTTGACCAAAATTTGAAAATTCCATTTTGCCCAAAAGCTTCCTTGCTCAGATTTAAAATAAATTCTTTAATTCTTTAAATTATTTAAAATATAATTTTGAAACATCGTTGCTAAAAGTAAAATTTTTTAAAAAATTTTGAAAAATTAAAAATTTATAGCGACAACAATTTTAAAATAGTCACCGTTATAATGACACATTCAATGACAACAATTTTAAATATTGTCGTCACTAAATATTAAAAACGATTATCCCGGCTGACAACATTTCAGCGACTACGATACAGTTTTATAGCGACTACTTTTTCGTCATTGAATGAGCGTTTTAGCAACAATAATATGATCATCGTTAAAGGTTGCTTTAGCGACAGGTTTTAGCGATGAAATGTTGTCGCTAAAAATTTTTTAGAGACGACATTGTCTCTTTTATGTCGTGGCTGAAAAAGAATTTTGCTCTAGTGCGTGAGAAGACTAGGCAGTAGTCAGAAATGCAGAAACGAGAGTTGACTAATTGGACGTTGAGCTCCTAGTTGCCGATGCATGTATGTAAGTGATCACGTTCATGTAATGTAACCCGGCCATATTCTCAGTCCAGAAAAGAGCAAAACGTTAGGGAGATTGCATTAATTTGCTAATCTTCAGCTAAGGCCACTACAAGCTTCGTTCGTCGAACAAGGTGCCACATCATTTCATTTCTTTTCTTTTTTCAAGAACATTATTTCTTTTCCTAGTAGCTAATTATCACATATTCAGAATTAGTGTTAAGCGTTAACACAAACACAAACACAAACACTATTTCTTTTCTTGATATACCTTCTTGTTTCTCGATCTCTTATGGCGGTAGCCAAGAAGGAAGATAGAAACGGAGTTGACCAAGAATAAAACTCTATTTTTTTTCCCTCTCTATCTCTGAATTTAACCCTTCATCAAACACAAACACAAATGTTGACTTAATGGGATTTCTTAGACTGTAAATTTGCTCGCTTTTGGTGTCATTGGTACCATTCCATTTATGTGTTCTATATATGCTTATAACAATATTGCAGATGCTCCAAATTCTAATTAATCAAATGATTAAATATTTTAGTAGAACGCGGTAAATCTGTGTAACGTTCGCTGAAATTCCAGAGAGTCGTCACTACAACATTTAACGCTTTTAGAGAAGACACTTTTTGCGACGGATTTTTTGGGCCTTTCAGCGATGACATTGTCGTCGCTAAAAGTGGTTACTGAAATGCCAATTTTTTTTAATGACATAGCAACTTTTTGGCACAACCTATGACACTTTCAATGACAACATTTATCGTCGCTAAAAGTTCTGTGAATATAACCCCTGTGCAGAACCCTTCTTCCCCATTTTCTTTCCTTATTTCTCTTCTCTCAGCCTTTGCTCCTCCACCCTCTTCTTAACCCTAAAAGACCCAAATTTCTTCATCATTTCTCTCTCAAATTAGACCCAACAACCTTTATTGTCATTTCTCCTTATTTTGACCAAAATTTGAAAATTCCATTTTGCCCAAAAGCTTCCTTGCTCAGATTTCGTCGCCGCCGGTGGTTGCTGACATTGTCCAAATCAATCACCCCGTTATTGGGTGATCAAGTGTAAGTTTTTTGTGTTTTTAATTTTCTTGCAATTAGTTTAGGATAATAATGTATTTTAATTAAAATTGGTATTGTGAAATTGGTTATGTAAATGAGGAATTTTGGTTATGTTAAATTCTGATTAAATTAGTTATGTTAAATAGGTTATGTTGTTAGTAGTGATTATTGAATTGATTCTAGGTGTATGTTTTTGTTTAGGTTTTAGGTTATGTTAAAAAAAGTAAAAAGTATATATTAAAAGAAAAAAAATTAGGGGGTTTTGTAAATATTTGATTAAAAATAAGAAGCAAAAAATCATTACATAATTGAACACTTAGAAAAACATTGACAAGAAAAAAATTAAGAATTGATATTTACATTAGACTAGGAAAAAAAATAAGAAATTAGAACAAATTAAAAAGTGAATAATTGATATTTACAATATTGAAATAGAAAACAAATAAGAAATTAAAAAAATATAAAAAAGTAAAGAATTTATATTTACATTAAAGTGGAATAAAAAATACAAATTGCAACAACAAAATGAGTTAATGATATTTACATTGAAAGTAATTCGTATGTGTGTGCGATATTTTTTTCTTAATCATATTGCATGTTTTACCTTAGTACCCATTCGAGAGCTGGTGACTGGCTCACCGGATCTTGAATTGTCCCGTTTTGGACAGTTTGGGATTTGTAATTTACGTTTTTGTTATTCATTTGCACTCGTACCTTATAGTAGAAAGTTTAGTACTCTTCTCCGAGTGTGTGTCGTGTAGCACACTTAGGAAAATTAAGGGGAGATGATGCTAAAAATTTTACAACTAAGGTACGTTGTGTAATGGATAGCAAAATACATAAATTCTAAATTCTAAATGGGTTGGGGCCTTAAACTGTAGTTGTGGAGTAAAGGTGGATAGGTATTTAGCATGCACTCATACACTTGCTTTAATAATAATATTAACTTCTTTAGCAGATAAATGTCGATAGACAAGAGTTGGATAACAATAAGAAACCGACTGTCTAAGGAATTTTGGGTTGGTTTAGATGCATTTGTTGCACATGTGAAAAACTATGTCAATAAACAGGATAAGATTAGATGTCCACAGCATCGACTCAGGAGGACATAGTGACAGAGGTCCTCAGAGAGCGACGAGGATATAGGAAAAGAATTGGCACGACGCTGTCTCAGAGGAACGTAATTCAAATCCCTCAACAGTCGCAGCCCAATTATGAGGAGCTCGGTAATTGGTTTCAACAGATCTACAACAAACTCAACCAAGCCAACATCAATATCCCCCCCACCAAGTGCATCCTGACCACCACCCACCCCCACCAGCGACCGACATTGAGGACGACGACGATGACGCTGCAGATTTAGGGACCCATTAGATAGCTTTGTTCTTGTTGTTAGAGACCACTTATTTTATTTTATTTTATTAGATATAATATTTTTCTTCATGTTCAGTACGTTAGTTGCATTTGTAATATTATTACTTCTTACTTATGTTTAACATTCACTTTTTAGTAATTTTATCGTATTTGATTATTTGTCAATTTAATTTATTATATTGAATTTTGTTATTACAAAACAATTTTTATTAAACATTTCATATCAAATCTAATTATTAAAATTAACAAATAAACAACAATTTAAAAAAATAAATTCTTTAAATTATTTAAAATATAATTTTGAAACATCGTTGCTAAAAGTAAATTTTTTAAAAAATTTTTGAAAAATTAAAAATTTATAGCGACGATAATTTTAAAATAGTCACCGTTATAATGACACATTCAATGACGACAATTTTAAATATTGTCGTCACTAAATATTAAAAAAAATTATCACAGCGAATTTCTGACAACAT